TCCCCCCATTCAGCTCTAGTTACATTTTTGTACTGTGTTGTGTTTATTTGTTGTAAAGCATAGTATGTGATGACCCAGAAGCATTCTAATTGAATTGTCTGCACTAAAGGTGAAGGTCAGGACTTAATCATGACAAGCAAAGGCCGAGTTCCTCCTCCCCACCTCCGCCACCCGCTCAACTCGGGCCCTGCTTCGGTCTACCCCGACCCGTACCCACCTGGCCCCCGCCCGCCTGTCAGTGGCTTCCCGCCCTTTGAAATGCTGCCTCCTAACCAGATGATGGCCCACAAGCTCTCCACGCAGCAAGTGGAGATCGAGAAGCTCGTCACGGAAAACCGCAGGCTGGCAGCCACTCACGGTAATCTCCGGCAGGATTTGGCCGTTGCCAAGCATGAAATTCAGTCAGTGCATGCCCACATTGCGGAAGTGAGGGCTGAGAAAGAGCGGCAAGCAAGGAGCATGCTGGAGAAGATGGCGGCCATGGAGAAAGAGCTTCAGGCTGCTGAGCCCCTGAAAAACGAGCTGCAGAAAGCGCGGGGTGAGGCGCAGGTCTTGTTGGCTGCTCGACAGGAGCTGATCTCGAAGGTGCAGCAGCTGGGACGTGAGCTGCAGGCAGCTCATTCAGAGGCGCAGCATATTCCCGCCTTAATGGCCGAGCTCGATAGTTTGAGGAGGGAGTATCAGTTCTGCAGGTATTTGTTATGTTTTCCCTTTTTTTTTTTTTAATTCTTGTCTAGTTGGATTGAGAGTCTTGTGAAACAGCTTAATTTCTTGTTTTTTTCTTGGGGTCGTACAAGACATGCATATCTGGTGAATGATGATTATGTTCTCATTCAAAGATGCAATCTCTAAATGATGATATGATGAGGGTAACATAAATTTGTTATGTGTAGGCGCATTGTTCGAGGTTAGATTTTATTTTATTTTTTCCCCTCTCAAACGGGGGCCCGAAGATGATGATATATAAAATGCGAGTCCTGAATTGAGTATATATGGAAAACTAAACCCACCCCTGTCTTGAGGCAAAAATTAAATCTTGGATCCTGATATGCAATTATCCCATCTTTACTCTTTAGTACCCCACAGGGGAGATTTGATTATGTCAAAAAGGCTTGCTTCTTGAATTTCAAATTCTATTTGCCTTTTTAAATAAAAGGTGTAATGTTTAACGTGCAGGAGTACTTATGACTATGAGAAGAAGTTATACAACGACCACCTTGAATCTCTTCAGGTGATGGAGAAGAACTATATGTCAATGTCAAGGGAGGTGGAGAAGCTGAGGGCAGAGTTAACTAATTCAACAAACATTGACCCACGAACAGGTGTTAGATTATATGCAGATTTAATTCCCAAATCTTGTGTCTTTTAGCTTTACTGTCGTTTTTTACTTCCTAATCAATTGTGTATTATAATGCTAATGCAGGTGCGCCATACAGTGCCCCTGCTGGATACAATGAAGGTCTTCATGTGGGGAGCTATACATCCGGTCAAAACGCCTATGGTACAGTTCAGGTATATACAAATACAAGTAATACGAGATTGATCGATAAGTTTTCACATGGAATACACTGAGGTAAATACATAACAGGTATCATGATTTATATTTCGCTATAAGAGCGTACCTCAGTAATCCGTCCCGACATCCAATGCGTTAATTTTATGTTGATTTTGTGAACAAAAGCTGAAAAACTATTGCTTGTTCTAGAAAAGTCAACAAATTCTCCAGGTCACTTTTAGTTAAAAATTTTCCAATCATGGCATTCATTTTTATGAATTACCTCTGATTGTGTTTTAACCCCTTTACAGCAGGGGCAGGGAGTACCTGCTGGTGTACCTGGTCCTGGTCCAGGGGTTAATTCCCCTCATGTTGTAGCCCAACCGGGCCCATATGGTCCAGTGGCTGGTCGTGATCCCCCCAGAGGAGGCCCTATTTATGGTGTACCTTTCCAAACTGGTTATGATCCTCACAGGGGACCCACTGGGACTAACTTTGATGCCCAAAGGGGGCAAAATGGGCCGGGCTATGAAGCCCAGAAGGGACCCATGCATGAAGCCCGGGTCCAAAATGTTCCTGCTTACGATCCACAAAGAAGCTCTGGTGATGATGCTCATGGGTCGTCTAGGGGTGCTGTGAGGCCCCAAGGACAGGTACCTGTGAATAATAATGTGGCTTATGGCTCGACGCCAGGTGGTAGAGTTGAGGTTGGTTATGAGCTGAATCCACATGGTGGAAATCCCGTTCGGAGGTGAATTTGAGATTTTGTTTCAGGTCTTCCGTGGAATTATGTATCGATGCTAATATTTTTCTTTATGGGTATTTTTGTTTGGGCTGCTCTGATAATTTCCTCTTGTGTGGAAGGATAGTATGAATGAATGAATCAGGTTAGTGATGAGAATGAAAGAATATTGTAAAAGCAAGCTAACATTTGGAGCGGATTTGCAGTAAGCTTGCTTAGAAGTAGAAAAGCACTTCTTTTTATTTTTTTCCTTTTTGTTTTTATTTTTTTATTTTATCGATACAGTATCCAACATGTGTTGATGGGATTTGCTTTTGCATTGGATTTCTGATTGGGTTGTGTATTATGCAGATTATGAAAATTGAAATTACTCTAAATTGTCTACTTTTAAGGATATACAAATTTTAGTGTGAAACGGTCTAATCGTTAAGTGGGTCGACTGGGTCATAACAAGAACGAGTTGAAATAAGAGACCCACGCCTTGAAATTTGTTTTCAATCCTCTCAAATTCAAAATCTCAATCCGTAATAGGAGCGAATTGAAGTAGGAATAATACAAAACCAATGAAAACAAGAATCACATGCAAGAATATTTGAATGAAAATGAATATATTCCATTGGATAGTGCCTTAACACAACAAATATTTCAACAATAAACACCTCGTTATATATAATTATTGAATGTAGTGAGCGTAACTATAACTGATATATTTGTATGTTTCGAGATATGTCAAATGTTTAGGTATGGTTATTTCAGTTATACATTAAATAATTTCCTTTATTAAAACAATCATTATTTATTTAATTTCATATTTTTCTTTCATAGTTACCATAATACTTTTCTTTTTATCTCATCTTTTACAATCACAGACCATCAGTTAAATTAATCATATTAATTTATTTCTCAATCTTTCTGGTCAACGGTTTTGCTATGAAGTTTACAGGTGACACCATAGTGGAGTCAACATTCTATATATAACAAATAAACCTATCATATTCGTTGATTAATCAAATTACACTATATAATTTTATTAATATGGTAAATTTACTTGTTGTATTGGCTTCATAGCAAACCCGTTCTCTTCAATATTCACATATTACTCATTTTGATTATGAAATAGGATATTTAGATTAAAAATCCTCCCTATATATAATTATCGAATGCGTTGAGCCTACGTGGCTGTTTCTGATGCTTCGGAATCCTATTTGGCGAAGAATCATGTTTCGTAATTAGGTTTGGACAAATAATATTGATATATTAATAATTAATAACTAGGTTCGGGTATTCCATAAATATTATTTAGCTAACTTAGGTATTTTAACATCACTTTTACTAATATAACCCTTTAATTATTTGTAATTTTACATAGTGAGGCACTAAGTGACTAATATATCCCTAAATTTTGATTTGCTTCCTTCAATAAGCTATTGAATTATAAATGTATTTTAAAAGTTGATAAATTTTGTATTTCTTATCGGTTTTACATATATTATATATCAAATTAATGATCTTTTGATGATCTTCGATTTGACATCCATATTGTATATATGAAATAAATAAATTATATTTATCTTTATAATAATAAAAAATAATAATATTTATTAAAATTCATTTGAAAAATAAAATTATTTTTCAATTGATATATTTATATGTAATGTAGTTATATTATGTAAGTTATAAAAAATTAGTATAATATAACACAAGTAAGTTGCACAAATAAAAAGTGTCATAATAAATATATAATAATATATATATTCTTATAAAAGTTATTTAAATTTTTAAACTACTTTTTTCTCATTAATTTTAGATTTTAAGAAAAAAAATTAGCAAGCACCCGTGTAATACACGGGTTGTTGTACTAGTTTAGATTAAAATAGAGAGTTAAAAATAAATAAAAAAAAATAAAAAAGCAAACGAGCCCTTTGTATTACATTCGAGATTTCGAGTCCCATCAAAACCCCAAAACCCCAAATTTGAAAATTTCATTTTCCCGGCAGACTTCCAAAATCCCCTCACAGAGCATCCATGGAAGACGACTCGCTCCAACATCTTCATCTCCGTGAGTTGAACTTTCATATCTCTGAAGATTTTCGCTGTTCATCTCAATTTTCGACTCAATTATTCGCAAACTCTCATGTGATACGCTTACAAATTTTCTTAAATCAACCTCTTATTTTTGTTGATATACTATTTCAACAGAATCTGTGAGTTTTCCGGTGAAAGGAATGGAATCGGTCATAGCTACGGTGACCGGATATCAAGGCTCGGAGAGATTCAACCTCATAAAGCTGATTTCTCACGCCGGCGCCAGTTATGTTGGAAACATGAACCCTTCTGTTACTCATTTGGTGAGGGATTTTAGATTCATATTCGTGTTTGGATCTGTTGATATTTCGATCTTAGGTGTTGGTGAACAATTTTCGTACATTTCCCCTTGATTTAGCAGTTTGACTGATTGCGCTGTTTAGGTGTGCCGGAAATTTGAAGGGAGGAAGTATGAGATTGCGAAGAAGTTGAACATGGTGATAGTTAACCATAGGTGGATTGAGGAATGCGTGAAGAAGGGAAGGCGTGTGTTGGAGAGACCTTACACCTTTCGGAGGTATGTTGAGTTGTGAAATTTTTTTTGTATGAATATTTCGTTTTTCTGCCAATATGACAATATAGTGAGCTATGTAGTACAAAATGTTGGTTTTGATTGAATTGTGTGTCTTCTTTCACAAGTTATGATAAGGTTAATCACTCCATAGGAGTGGTATTTCTGGTGAGAAAATTTTAATTATATATTGGTGTTTTTCTTTTTGTTTCACTTTCTTAATCTATTTTGTGAATACTAAGGATGTCGTATGGAAAAAAAAAAGTCCATTGTGAGGCGCAAGCAGGAAGTAGGAACACCATGAGAATCCGCTAAACTAAAAGAAGTGTGTTATTGTATCTTAAATTTGGATTGTATTCAGTGTTTCTGATTCGGTTCGTACATTCGCCTTGGTACCATGTGTAAAGCTTCCTTCCAGGTCCTCCACTTATAAAGTTGTTTGGAAACTTCTAATTGTAGCAGGTCTTTTCTGCGGAAGGTGGAAAAAAATTTGATGCCTTGCAGTTGCCCAATCTATTTGGTTGAATTATGCCAAACAAAATCCAAGATCCTTTAGTTGTTGCTTGAGTAGGAAATTTATGCTTGAGTGGATCTACCATAGAAAATTTGGTCTAAGTATTTATGTGTTTTTTTCTTCCCCAAATTTGATTTCTTGTAGTGGGAAAGAAGTTGGACCTCTGCTTTTGGAGCCCCCAGCTGGTATTAGTTTAGCTAAGTCCCGGTCTGAAGCATTGAAGAAATCTAAACAACCTGTGTTTGATATTGACTGTGAAGACACCAGTAATGTTGCTTGGGTGACTCCAATTCTTGCTGATGAGGTTGACATCTGATTTTAATTTGTTTTAAACAATTTTCATGTTCTTCTTTTATCCATCCTACTTGATATACATTTATAGTCCTTGTGATTTTAGTTTGTATTTAGTTTTTGGTTATATGCAACATTTCTTGTCTACTGTAAAACAAACAGAATAAGGCTATACCACAAAGAGGCAAGAGCCCAGTACAAGCCCCTCAGTAAATGTTGTATTTTATCATTAGTCTGCGTATACTATTTCTTATGTTGTTGATCTTGATTAGTATTCATTTGTTACTCCTTGAATAGGTCGAGAAAACAGGCACTTCCAAGGCTGCAAATTCTTCTGGAGTGAAAAAACGGAGTTCCACTTCACTCAAATCTCATGGCAAGGCTCGGAAGCTTGTTAAACAGCATATCAGCAAAAAAGATGAATTATTGACTTCAAGCATATTGGAAGACCTTGAGGAGAGAAAAACACTAGCCAGGAACATCAGCAGCGTAATTCTGTCTGATAGTTCAGACTCTCATATGCACCAACATTTACCCGATAAAAGCTTTTCTATTAGCAGGGAAGATGACACTGATGCCTTTGATGATGTTGAAGAGTTCCGGCATGCAAATAATGAAAATCAGAATACAAGTATCCATAGTTCTCCAACTTCTCCACCTCAAATTTCAGGAAAAAATCCTGAAGCCGATTGTGTGGATTCTATTGATGTTGATGCCGGTAAAAAAATGGCCGCACCAAGTGAACTGTCATGTGTTATATGCTGGACGGAGTTCAGTGCCACTCGGGGGGTATTGTCATGTGGGCACCGATTTTGTTTCCTCTGTATCCAGAACTGGGCAGATCACATGGTATGCAGTTCTATCTGCATTTTTAATTTCCTGTTACATTTTCTATAGATTGTGTTTTATTATTTTGTTGTAGTTTATAATTTGCAATTTTGAACCTGCTGGCATGCTTTTTTATCCGGGAGATTTGCCAAAGTACAACCTTTGTCTTCATAAAACACCAGCTTTATATTCCATGACCAAGACAGCAACCGACAATGGCTGTTGTTATGACCCAAAGGTGTTATTATTGCAAGTAGAAAGTGAAAAGGTGGTGCGTTGGCAAATTTCCCTTCTTTATCCAGAGGTTTATTGTTTTTCTGGGCTAATTTTCTTAGTTTATTGCTTTATCGAGTATGCATAATAATTGTCACGGGAGAGTAAAACATTTATCACTCAAATTTAGCAAACTTCAATTAAAGTAACCGACCTGATTGAAAGTTTATTCAAGATCTAGACATAACTATCAACTGTCTCTCCTACATGCACCTGCTATATCTATCTAGTGCTCATATCAATTTACAACATTTGCTTTGAGTATGGTTTGACTTAACTGTTACTATATTGAATGATATATTTTTTTTTACTAAGACTTTATGCTCCTCAGTCTTTGAGTGGGAAGCCTTCAACTTGTCCTCTCTGCAAAGCTAGCTTCACATGCATAATGAAGGATGATGTTTCGCCAGATCAGAAAATCTATTCTCAATCCATTCCACAAGGCAGTACAGAAAATCTATATGTTCTTCCCGAGGAGGGATACGTTCCTTACGGCCTTCCTACCAATGTAAGCAATAATGGTTTTTCGGTTTTATATTGCATTAGTAATATCACCTTGATTGTGTAGTTATGAGCCATCTGCAAATGTTTCAGTATTTCTATTAAAATTGAACAAGAATGTGTTGGATTCAGTAGTACTTCAAATAACGTAAATATTTACACACAACTATACTGAATTTGTTCTTTCTGCTAGCTTCTGAAAAACTTCTAAAATTTTCGTTTTTCCATCCTTCGTTGTTGCTATATAGGCATCAGCGCAAGTGTGTACTGTGTGCTCCAGTCGAGAACCGGAGGATCTTCTTGTTAAGTGCCATTCGTGTGGGATTCGGTGCGTTCATTGCTACTGCCTCGACCCACCATTGTTTCCATGGACATGCGTTGCTTGCAAGGAACCCCGTATGCTTCGGTCTATTCATGGCTGTTAGCACAATCCTCTTGAGTTTGTAAAATAATCATAAGGTGGGAAATTTCTGTTTCATGGGATAATTGGAGAATTTAAAAGTTCTCGATATTTTGTTATTGTGATTGTACTTGGACTTCAACACATCAGGTGGTCATTTTTCAATTGCTGGCACAATGCTGTTAACAAACCGAATGTGTTCGTGAACAAAAGGTTGTTCGTATTCGGCAAGAACTTGTTAACTTGTTGATTCAGTCGTATTCGAACAGAAAAATTAGATTGTTTGAGAATGTTCAATAATGCTTGCGAACAATGATTTAATATAGTTTATTTTATTTTTATATTTGTAGGTGTTCCCTTACCCTTGTTGTGTAACAAGGGTATATCTACACTGTAAATGTTTCTGATAAAAAAAGATAAAGATATAAAAAAAAAAAATATTTTGTTTTTTAATTATCGAGCTTCACGAGTTTGAACAAGAAGATTCCATATTAATCTAACAACTTTAAAAAGTTCGATTACTAAATTATTAAAAAATATAAATACAAATGAGTTTTAACTTTGACGAATAATTAAATGACTTATTAAGGACTCGAACATGATTTGTTGCTCGAAAAAAAAAAATGAACGAAGCGAGCAATGCTCGAACAAATCAAACACGCGATCAAAATGCTTAAGCATGGCTCGTTTAGTTCAATTGCAACACTATCTTAGACCAATAAATCGGGTGAACCCGTTAGGTCTAACGGATAAAGATACGAGGAATATATCACCATTCACCAGGTGCCCAGATTTTACCACAAAGGACTTACACATGCAAACTGATTCCTTCACTTGCAATCCACTTAAACCCGACACCAATTTTATGGCTTCTAAGTTCTCTCTTCTCTCAATTATAAATCACCTGGAAATTCCTGTCTCCATTAATTTGTTCACATAATCAATCTCCACTTTAAATGACAAGGTGCAGAAAATTAAGACGACACCAAAAATTATTCACCAAACAAAACTAATCAATCCCCCTGTTAATTTATGTTCTCAAAAAACCCTGAATAATCAAATACTGATCAGAGTTAAACATATCAACTTACAACAACAATAACAAGAATAATGACATCTGTAATTCCCGTTTAGCATTCATTAATCTGTACAAATCGAGAGCATCGTGTATAACTAAAAGAAACTATCAGCTTCCCCAAAATACAATCACCTTTAAAATGAAATCTTGACGAATACCAATACATGCAGAACTAAAATGTAGAGCACGAAAGCCGACCTGAGCAGCATCAACCTCTGCAAACTCTCGTTCCTAACAGCTGTATGAAGAGGAAGCTTGTAATGAGAATCAACAGAATAATCAGAATGTAAAGAAGATGCACTTTTTCCGGTTCTAATTCTGGCCATATTCATGTCCGAACTGCCGTTTTCAATTCTTCTCCATATCCCGTTTAACTTTTCCAGCTCCAGCTCCTTAACGCGGATTTCACTTATGAGACCTTCTGCTTGAGACTAATAATCACAAGGAAGAAGAATTATAACCATGAATATATAATACTCTTGCAGCAGTGAGCAGAGGGGAAAATATCAGAATAGTAACATGTACCTGCTTTGCTGCAAGTTGTTCGATTGAGCTATGAAGTTGTTTATCCAATATTTTCTCCCGCTGTGCTGTTAATAAGCAAGTAAATTCATTAAGACACAAACACTGGATGCTAGAATCAAATTCTTGTTAAAAAAAAAGGTAAAAAAAAATCAGAAAAAGTACCTGGTGTCGGCTGTTTCATTGCATTATCTTGGACTTGTTGCCACTTTTTCTCCAATTCTTGAACTGTCCTCTCGATCGAAGCCTACAGAATGTGGACGAATAACAATTTCAGCGGGTTAAACAAAATATGTGTAGGCATAAAAGCACGATAATTCTAGTGAACCCATTTATCCAGACCAGTTCCTTTTTCTTGTTTTCTAACTCCTCCATCAATGCAGATTTAGAAGCTTCCGCCTCCTGAGCTTCGACTGCTGACTTGGATTCATGAGACGACTCGTTTGACTCTCCCGAAAGACTGGAATTCATGGAAGCTTCTGCTTTTTGCAGCTCAGCTTTCAGGCTTTCCTCGATCGAATCCAATTCCTATAAATCATGCTTGTAAGGTTCAGTTCTTACCATGTTTTAAAACTATGATCCACACAGATAAATTCTCAACATTGTTGTTTGAGCAGATACTCAGGACAAAAACAATGAATCAACAAGAATCGAGACGATTATTGTAACAGCGAGTAAACATATGAGAATAGTGTGGGTGATCAAAATCAAACCTTTAGCTTACTTCGAAGCAAATATGCTTCCTGCAGCTTCTCCTGAATTTTCGTTTCGCAATTTGATATAGCCTTTTGATACTCTGCATTTTCTTCCTGCAACCTAATTTCCCTCAGCTGCGTCTGCAAAATGTCGAATTACGAGCAAAATGCACTTCAATTCAACAAAAGATTGCCCCTTCTTTCTCTCAATCATTGCCATAACCAAACCCAGATTGCTATTTCAGTTTTATTCTTTATAAAATCTCTACAAATGCAAACAAAAATAAAGCATAGCTGACTTATCCCACACATTATGTTGCTAAAACGCAGATCAGGTCCAAAGATAAGGAAATTCCCCCAAAATAATAACAAAAACAAAATACGAAAAGAAAAGGAAAAAAAAAACCTGTTGCTTGGTAGCTGAATGAGCGTTGAGTTGAAGGGCTAGAGCATTGTTGGAGGCGAGCGAGTGAGCGTGGAGGTCAGGGAGGCGCTGGGAGATGTCGGGCGGGGGCAATCTCAGCCGCAGATCTTGGATCGAACGGTTGAGAGAAGCCGATTTGCGATCGAGCTCTTGGGCGTAGGCGAGCTGCTCGGGAGTGAAAATGAGAGGGATTGAATCTGGATCGTTCTCGTCGTCGCTCCGCCCGCTGCCACCGCCTCCGACGACGTCCGCCGCCCACGCTAGTAGACCGGCCATTTAAGAAGCTCCGGCTTGGATTCACGGTTAGCTGGATTTTCCCCCAAAAATTTCAGAATTCAATTTGTTTTCACTTTTCCGACAATAGTAACTTTTGGCTTTATTATTGATTATTCTGCCAAAAAAAAATAAAAAATAAATATATATATATACTAAAAAAAGGAAAAGAAATAATTTTATATTTTATAATTATTATAATATTCTTTTTAAAAAATAACTATTAATTTTAAAATGGCCAAATTGCACCAAAAAAACCCAACCTTTACTTTATTGCAAAATAATCTCTAACTTTTTTAAGATTGCAATAAAATATTTGACTTTTTAGTATTGTTGCAAATGAAGCTCCGATTCCAAATCCGGCCACCACTTTGATGACATGTCCGACCAATTGCTGATTTGGGTGGTGAAAAATGATGTGGCAAATTAAAACATAAATATGATGTGGCCACATCATCCTTAGAAATTTACGTAGCTCTTTAATTCCCAAAATTTCACCCTTATGCAATCTTACAAAATTTCAGACAACTGTCCTAACCCATTGAGATCGACAAGAACACTCCCAAAATTTCAAAAGCTGAAAAAAAACTTTCAACTCACCCGAAATGAAGCCTAAAGCCATCGACGACCACACCTCCCTTTAATTTAGAAGGTAGAAAATTTGAAAAAAAAAATCAAAGAACCCTAATGAAGTCCTAAATCGATCGACCACTCTTCCCAAATTTCGGAAGGTGGAAATGAAACCATTTCAAAGAAGTGCATAAGATGTGGAGCTCCGAAGAACTGGTTGTGTCATCGATGGAGAACAGGTATTGCATTTGAGCAAAAATTAGGTTTTCTAATTTTGGGAATTTTTGTGAAGATTTTGGGAAATTGGTTAATTTTTTTGAAATGAGGTTGGGGTTGAGAATGCGAATGAAGGAGAAGCCCATTCATGTTCAATCTATGACTTACTAATATATATTCCTTGATATAATTGTGTGGTTGATTGATAAATTTTTGCTCCCAGAAGACCGCCCTAATCGAGCTTTCAGATATTCTGAAGCGCTGATTGTTTGAGCTTGTGCGAGAATTATCTGACATTGTGTTGATTTTGTCGAATGTTTATTGTTCTTGGGAAAAAATTGGTTCTCAATTTTGATGTGGAAATGGGTATATATATGCTATAATACATAAAAGCCACATCAGCTTTTAGCTCGGCCATCTCATCACCTTGCCGAACAGATCAGCATCGAATGGCTAGGAAATGTCGTCGGAGCTTATATTGCAACAAAAGTAAAAGGTTGGGATTTTAATGGCTAACTTAAAAAGCTTGAGACTTATGTGCAATTTAGGTAAAAGTTGGGGGTTTTGTAGCAATTAGGCCTTTTAAAATTGACACTTCATTACGCAGAAGATTTCCTTATAAAATATGTATTTTTGTTATATATATATGTAGAATATAAATGCAAATTAAAAATCATGATTTATTTGATATGTCATAAATAAAAAAATAAATAACAAATATAAAAGTTATTAAACTTTAAAGAAAGACAAATTTTAATAACATATATAAAAGTTATTAAACTTTAAAGGAAGATCAATTTTAATAAGCTTTAATACTTTCAAAGGACTAATAATAGAATAATAAAAAAAAAAACTACTTTTTTTTTTCAAATGTCATTTTGGCTTTATCAAACATTAACAAAATAAATGACATTTTAGATCTTTTGTACATATTTTTCTATTATTACAATCATTTAGTTAATAAATATTCATCTAACTAATAAATACACTACGTCTTTTAATATCCACTAGTACAGAGCCCGTGCGATGCACGGATGTACAATTTTAAGGTCATTTATCCATTTTATAATTATATAAATGAATAAAAAAAATGTACGGGATATATATAGTACGTGACCTATAATAGGCCAAAATGTGAACTACGGGTGATGCACGGGTGCACATATTTAAGGTCATTTATTAGTGCATACCCCGTACGATGCACGCGATACATATAATAAATCAATTATTTCTATAGGACTTGTACGTCTAGACAAAAAAACAATAGGCTTAGATCATCCATATTTCACATCTTTTAATAAGTGGCGTTTATTTAAGCCAAAAAATTAACATGTTAATTAATATATAATTCCGCTAACACGTCATACTAATATTTATTTGATTTTAGAATACATATTTATTTATTGATATAGGAAAAAATAAAATTTTTATTAATTATTGTTCACCATATAATACTCAATTATTATTTTATTATAAAATTTACAGTCTTATAATGTAATTATTATTATTTATAAAAGTTATAGAAGTAGTCTTCTTTATGTAATGAAATTCAAAATAAAATTCTGAGTACAAATGTTTACAAAATACACACACATATTTTTTTAGAATTAAATTTTCTCATAATAATTTTTTTAAAAAAAAATAATTTAGCAATTGCCAAAAATTAAATCCCTTACATAATCAAGAGATTTTTTCTAATTTTAATTCTAAGTCTTTATAGTTTATTTAACATACTATGCAATAGAAAAATATTTTACAATAAGTTCATTTTTGAAACATAACAAAAAAAAGTGATAAAAACACTATCATAGTTGACAATAATATACAAATAAATAACATGTCGAAATTTTAAAGAATAACTAATATAACTTTATTATCTAACCATCAATAAATCATTTAATGATGTGATAATTATCTTTTAAATAATAAATAATATTAACTTTTTAAAAAAATATTAGTGTTATATAATTAAATAAAGTTTAAAAAATATTACTCGACAAATATTAATTATAATGGATATCAGTAAAATCATTGCATAAATTATTTAAGGAAAAAATCTTGAAGATCATATTTGGATAGTAAATGTAAATATGCAAGTATTTAATGCATATAGGCCTCATTTACTAGAAGTGACGGGGACTAGATTGGATATGACAATTTATCCAATGACCTGGATTTTATCATGTTTACCTACAATACACCAATTTATTTTATCCCATCCAATGTTTACAACCTTTGTTACAAAAAATGACTAAAAGCTCTAATCTCGATTTTACCCTCCTCCTACCAGATTCAGAACAACTCAATTCTATTCCCAGATTTCTTTGAAACTGAACCCTACCTCCCCTAAATTCCTTTTTTCTCTCTAATCGGCCGAGGAAGAAGAGGCGACGACCCATTACCTTTAGCAAAAATCTTCGAGCAAGAAGAAGCAAATGACACTTGCGAGTTCACCAACATTACAACAGTGCTCGAATAAAAAAAAAAAAAAGGAAAAAAAGGAAGAACAAAATGGGTGGCAGTCATGTACGGGACGAAGATAGCAAGTACCAGAATTTGGCCGGCCGAAGACGAAGCAATCGACACCTAAATGATAACAATGTTAGAATAATTAAAAAAAAAAAAAAAATAACTATAATTGAAGAACATGAAGGAGGGCGAGAGAGATTGGAGTCAGGCGGACATAGCTAGGGTTTTTCCGACAGTTGGGCGAGGAAGAAGAAAAGTGAAGTTCATATTGCAAAACTATATTATATATGATTATATTGGAAATAAAATTGATAGACAGGGGTATAAAGGACATTTGACACCTACCTTTTTGGACAAAATTGAAATGAACAACGAGGGATAAAAAAAATCCGCCCACATCGGGCGGGTAAAACAAACCTGCCATGTCAATTTTAAGTCCTGGACCCACGTGCCACATACCACACACATAAGCCAAATCTCAATCCATATAAGGCCTGGTAAACATATGATAAGGTTGGTTAGCCAACCTTATCCAATCCGATCCCTTCTAGTAAATGAGGCCATAGTAAAAAAATTTCAAATAAAGTATGCATTAAATGTGTGTTGACTTTTCTTGCTACTGTTTTTGGTAAATAGGTTAGCTTTTAATATATATATAGACTGTTAATATTTTTTCAAAACGTTTATCTCTATCCTAATTAAGGAGGATTATTATTGAAAATCTTAATTATTGTGCAACTTCTCAAAACAACACTTATTAAAAAAAAAAGGGAGGGAGTATATACGTGATACCCACCCAAATTCGAGACATGATTCCAAGATTTGTACATGGTAATATCTGTTAGTATAGAAAATATCTTATATTTATATTTATTTTATTTAAGTAGGATATCTTGTTGTCCAAGTTAACTAGCCCTAGACTTTGTATATTTATATCCTCTTATTCTGTACATCACAAGACATGATCAATATATACAAAAATATTTGTTCTTCTATTTGTTCTGTCATGGTATCAGAGACAAATTTCTTCTTTCTCGATCGTAATTTATTTTTCTAGTCTGTCCATCATATTTTTTTTTCTTTTCTTCTGTGAATTATTCCACAGCCTTGGGTAATTCTTGCCTAATTATTCCTCAATTCTCAAATTGGTGTACGCCAATTGCTATCTTGCTGTGATTGTTCATTCATTAATTCCCACAGGCCCATCGATTAAAAAAAAAAAAAAAAAAAAAAAAAAAAAAAAAAAAGAAAAAAATCAGCATTTGATCTCTCGTTCTATCCCAACTTTCGTTCCATGGGTGACTCCTCTACAACCGGCGAGGGCTCCTCTTCACCGACTCCTTCTTACAAATCAATTTCTCCTTATGATATTACTTCAAGCGATAATCCCGGTTGTGTTATTTCTCAAGTTCTCCTTACCAATGCTAATTATCTTGAATGGTCTGCGGCTCTCCGGAGGGCACTATGGGCTCGCAAGAAATTTGGTTTCTTGGACGGATCTATTTCTAAACCACAGGAGGGTTCTTCGCTTTTAACGGATTGGTATGTCAATAATTTTATGCTCGTTTCTTGGATCATGAATACTATCGATGCTTCGATCCGTTCTTCTATCCCAAATATCGAAATAGCTCAACAATTATGGCAGCACATTCGTGATCGATTTTTTGTGGTTAATGGAACTCGGATTCAGCAGTTGAAAGGAGAACTCGCTACCACGTATCAAAAGGGTATGACAATTAGCGCGTATT